GTGGGAGTATTTTTTCCTGTCCGCTCCCTGCTTTGGGTCCTGTAACTGCCTCCTCCCTGACGACAGCTCCTACTGAGAAACCCTTTCTTAACTGCTTCCAGCTCCCTCTTGGTTTGGTAATACTTTTTCTCTCTGTCTCTTTAGCTCTAGGGTGCCCGTGTTTGTTCTCTTAATTCTGCTCACACCACTGTGTAGAGTCCCTTCATTAAAGTTGTTTTCATTGGAACTTTCTAGGGCAATTTGTTTTGCCTGCCAGACCCTGATTGATACAGCAAGTGTGTGTAACACTAACTGAACACAGCAGTAATGTCTGTAGTTACTGAACTGATGGGGTAAAGCCAACTTAGACTGTGGCCACCTGGAAGTTAGAATCATGTATTTATTATTCATTTTATATGACCCCAGAACCTACCAAAAGGACCTGGTCCATAGTAGGCATTCAGTGACTATTTTTTCCAAGGTAATGAAATTGTAGGCCTGTGTTTGTGCTGACAACAGTGTGCCCTCCTAAGGAGACCCTGTCTGCTGTCGCTGTGAAAAAGCAGCTTTTCAGGAGTTCTGTCTCCGCGCAGTCAGGGTGTGACAGGTCGTGCTGGGCAAAGCACTTCAGCACCTGTGAGCTGTACTTGTAGTTACACTGGAGGTCTGAACCTTGTGATTTTTAGAGCGTTCCTTCTCCCATTTGGCACAGATTTCTGGAACTGGTTTCTAATTTATTTATCCATCCATTCAAAATTTTCACTTTTTTTTATTATTATTTTAAATTGCAAAAGAATTACATCGAGTTGTTAAAAGTGCAAGTATTACAAAAGAACTTTTAACCTCTCTCTGTCTGCGGTTCCACTTTTCCCAAGGTAACCATCATTACCAATTAGTGGGGCGGCTGCCATACCTTTTTCTGTGCAAATATTACCATACAAAAAGCTGTACATAGGTTTTAGACTTTTGTGTAGTCAATATTATTTTTTAAGTTGTGTTTTCTTGTAGTTTTAAAGTTGGTATACATTTAGATTTAGACCTATATGAAGTTAATTTTCATATCTGATACAGAAGGAATTCTTAGTTTTTTTGAGTGGTCCCATTGTATTCTAATAAGTCATCCTTTCGACCGTTGATTTGAATGCTGTTATTATCGTGTGCGAGCTTTTTCATTCTCCCTGGCTCTGTTTCTGGTCTTCATTCTGTGTGTCTATAACCTATTTTTCTGGTTTTGACCATCTCATATCAATACCTGTTTAATATCCAGAAATTTGAGTTTAGAATTATATATGGATCCAAAAATAGGGAATTATAATTTTTCTAGTTGTGGACACCATTAAAGAAAGGGTGTTTTTATTTCATTGCTTTTGTACTTAAGACTGTGAAGTTGCATCGAGAAATCAGTTTGAGAGTTATTTTTAAACTGAAGAAACTTAACAAATATGAAATTTGAATCTAAACTTAAGGTTTTACCTTATCTTCAAATGTTTACTATAAATCAGGAATAGGCCTTTCCTGTTCATGTCTGTTTATATTTTAAATCAAAAGGAACAATGAGAGAATGAAGTGCTGGGTTTTAACGAGAATCTCGAATTACAGGTTGCTGTGACTCTCTGCCTGATTAACGCCAACAGCTAATTATTTCCATAACAGAAGAATGCCCTAAAGTAACGACAGGGTGTTTCCCCTTTTCAGTCTTCCTCTCCTGTCCCTCGTCTGATTTACTCAGGTTGCCTGAGACTGAAGAGTTTGCAAGGGTAGAGCTGCGCACGTTCTGCTTTGTGGTGGCCTGCAGCTGCCGGTCTGCACATAGGCGTTTCGTGACTCCCTCAAGGGACCTGCCTCTGTGCTAAAGACCGGGGTACAGTGATGAGTGAAACACAGGGTCATTTTCACTCCTGTGGAGGGACCATAAACATATTTTAAAATAATGCTTGTAACTAAGAAAATGGCTTTTTAAAAACTTCAAAGAAACTGTCTTTTTCCATATGGTTTGTTACCCTACAGAATTGCCAGTTAAGTAGTTACTATGGAGCTCATTAGGGGCTCGTAAGTATCCTTCCAACCATATTTAAGAAACCATAGATGCTGATGATGACCCCAATGTGACTTCATGAATTTGTTTTGGGTGGAAATTTAGCCCTAAATGTACTGTGTTCCTCTATCTGAGACTTTGAAATAAATACTATATTTTTGTTTTATTTTTATTTCTATATCCAATGTAGTGTAAAAATATGTTTTCTATTGGCCTATCTCATTTCTGCTTTGGTTAGGTCGCTGACCTCCATCACTAGTTTCTTGAGCTTCTGTGTAGAAGTTTAATGACTAAGTTAAGCAGTTCTCTTCAGACAGCGTTTGTATTTATTACAGGAGTGGACTTGTCCAAGATAGAGAAACACCCAGATGCAGCCAACCTCCTTCTGAGACTGGATTTTGAAAAAGACATTCAGCAAGTACTCCTGTTCCTTAAAGACCTGGGTATAGAGGATAACCAGCTGGGAGCATTCCTGACAAAAAATTATGCTATTTTCTCTGAAGACCTTGAAAATCTTAAGACCAGGTAGGGTTTTAAGAATGACTCTCATATAACCCAGAAGGGATTATGAAGGAAATATATGTGTGAGCTATTTTTCAAGTCTCCGGTGCACAAGGATTAGCTGTTCTCTCCCTGTGACATGTAAATATTTTCCCCAGATTGTTACTTGTCTTTGGCTTTGCTGATGCTGTTTTCCTGTCTTGAATTTAAATTTTTTATATAGTTAAATTTATCAATCTTGCCCGGCTGGGCGTGGCTCAGCGGCTGAGCGTCAACCTAGGATCCAGGCAATCGGTGTTCAGTTCCCGGTCAGGGCACATGCCCAAGTTGCGGGCTCGATCCCCAGTTGGGGGTGTGCAGGAGGCAGCGGATCAATGACTGTCTCATCATTGATGTTTCTCTCTCTCTCTCTCTCTCTCTCTCTCCCCTTTCCTCTCTCTGAAATCAATAAACATGTGTATATTTTTTAAAAATTATCTTTTCTCAGAGACTGCTTTAAAGAAGGAACAGTCATTTGAATATAAAGTATAGTGTCTGATAAATGGTATAGAAATATCATAGGCGTTAAAGGTAGACATAGAATTAGTGGAAATCTCAACTTTGCCATTAATTAGCTGGTAGTCTTCCAAGGTATTTAACTTCTCTGGATCTATGTTTTTTCAAATGTAATATGGAACTATTACCTGGTGTACAGGTTATTCTGTTTTTTCTGGTAAGAATTAAACAAGACAATGTTGTGCTATATTTTAGGCATTTACTAAAACAGACTTTTACTATGTTTATAGATTTCTAAAAATCAGTAATGTTATTTTATAGTCAGGTTTTCTATATTTCACTACCTTATTTTGGTTTGTAGAAACTTTTTTTTCCCTACCAAGTAACAAAATAAGATTAACTGAAAAGGGAATTATTTTCTGCTTTTAAGTGTAAATGGGGGCCATTCTAGAGTTGGATGGATGCTTGATTTAACCGTATTCGGGCCATTATTATAGAATGTGGTTTTTTTATTTTTATTGGTGTGGGAGCCTTTTTAAAAAGTTATTTTGGAAAGTAGCATGCCACTAGTAAATGTTCATCATGTATGTGTATTTTTGTTTGTTTCTTTAGAGTGGCTTATCTACAGTCAAAAAATTTCAGTAAGGCAGATATCACACAGATGGTCAGAAATGCGCCATTTTTGCTGAATTTTTCAGTGGAAAGACTGGATAACAGATTGGGATTTTTTCAGAAAGAACTTGAACTTAGTGTGAAGAAGGTAAAGGGGAGAATTTATATATTTCCATGTCAGCTCTGTTTAGTAATCTTTAAACCATGTTTTTAACAGGTGTGAGTAAGCCTGCTGGGTCAAACATAGAGCTGTATTATTTTATAATATTCCATCACATTGTTTCCTTTTGTTTTTAGTGTTTGTTTTTGCCCTCAAACAGTACTAAATTTATGTATTTGTAGGGTTCCTAGCTCTTCTCTGACAGGGTCGTTTTAGAATTTTTAGTTTTGTATTTCTAGTAATGCTTTGGTTTTCCAAACTAGTTGGATATGCATGTCTAGTGATGATAGATTGTTTTATAACCACAGACTAGAGATCTGGTAGTTCGTCTCCCGAGGCTACTAACTGGAAGTCTGGAGCCCGTGAAAGAGAACATGAAGGTACGATGGCCTGAAGGTTTTGAGAAATCCGTTTTTTTTTCTTTAAGGGTTGGAGTCTGAGGAGTACAGATTTTGCTATTGTCATCTTAAAGAAAACTATATTATAAATGATGTTCTTTCTAAAAACATGAAGATAAACAAAATGATATAACAGCCCTGGCCAGCTTGGCCCAGTGGTTAGAGCGTCGGCTCACAGACTGAAGGGGCCCCACGTTCGGGGTGCAGGCTCCATCCCTGGCCCTGGTCGGGGCGTGTGCGAGAGGCAGCCAATCACCGTTTCTCTCCCTCCCTTCCACTCTCCACTCTCTGAAAAGCAATGGAAAAATATCCTCGTGTGAGGATTAAAAAAGAAAAGAAAATGATATAATAAATATCTAGCAGGCTATTTGTTTTAGTTGACAATATTTTCACGTTTGCAGGTATTACATGAGTAAGTCCCCTTGCAGACGCCGATGCCGGTAACCCTAGAGTAATTTAGGTACCTGAGTGATCCCTGGAAACCGCTTCCGTTGCCCAGTATGAGAGTCTGTGCCTATGTCACCCAGGTGGGAGATGAGTTTTGGAGGCTGGGTCCAAGACACTTCTATAACAAGATCAGTGGGCAGCACCTCGCTCTCCTTGGGGCCTGTGCCAGCTGCCAGCCCTAGTGCTACCTTGGACCATCCATGTCACTCTTCACTGTTTTCTCTCCCAGAGACGAGCATAGAGCAAGGGCAGCAGACTAGTTAGTATACAAAGCTGAAGTAATATTTGAAATTATCATCTAAGGCCTATTTTCTTAGGTGCTTAAAATGTTTCATAGTTGTAAAAATTGTTATTGAGCACGTGCCCACACAGTCTGCTGGGGGGAAGAGTTCCTGCTCTCACGGAGCTTCCAGTCTAGTTGGGGGGGGAGCATGTTGAGTGGTACAAGCAGGGCACTGGTGGGGTGAATAGCTACTGTGACTGCACTAGACGACCCAACCCATGTTTGGGTGTTTAGTTTTTTCCATCTGTCTGGAATTTTGACATGTAGTTTTTCAGATACCACTTGGGAGCAGAGGTTCAAAAAACACTTTGAAAATCTTACTGCTGGTCTGTGTGGTGGGGCCTGAAAGATAATCTGACCAGGTCTCCCATGCCCGCCTTCATTCTCTCAGAATTTGATAGCTCCTCTTTGATCCTCTGGATGATCACCTGCTGTGAGTAGCTCATCTCAGGAGAGGGCTGAAATTCAGGTTACTCCAGAAGTAGGAAGCTATCATCCCTTGAGGGCTTTGGCATGGCTGTCTCCAGATTTTAATGTGCTCATTCTAAATTTTGAAAGAATCAATGTGTCCTCTGGCACAGTACCCAGCTAACTCTCTATTCATGACTTACAGCAACTCTACTTTCTTTTAGGTTTATCGTCTTGAACTGGGTTTTAAACATAATGAAATTCAACATATGATCACCAGAATCCCAAAGATGTTAACTGCAAACAAGAGGAAGCTTACGGAGATTTTCGATTACGTGCACAATGTGATGAGCATTCCCCACCACATCATGGTCAGGTTCCCACAGGTATGCGCACAGCTGTGCGAGCTGCTCTAGCATAACGCTGCTCACTTGTGAAAGTGCCTTGCTGTTTGTGAAGGACTTGGACCAGGTGCAATCTGGTTCTGAGAGTTGTGTGAGGGTCTTATTTATTTTGCCCATCTTTTTATTAAGAACACATCTAGCAGAGTAGAGGGAGGGATGCTTGTGAAAAGTTCACCCTGTCCATCTCCATAGGAGAAATAAGTGATGAACCTATGCCTGTTGGAATCTAATGTATTCTCATTTATGTTTTTGTCCATTTAAATTTGAAGTAGATCTCTTCCCTTAAAGGTCCTTAAGTATTACACATACTTTTTTATTCGCAGTCTATGTAAATCCATTAGTTAACAAGCCATATTGTAATGATCTCCTACTGAAGCCTAAAACAGTTCCAGTTTGCCACGACAAAGCCTTAATTATATATTTAAGCTAATCAGACTTTCCTGTTCTTTACCTAGGGAGTGACAATATCTGCCTGTTTTCAAGAATGTTAACTCTGACAGCAGAGATCTTGTCTTTCTTACACGCACTGCTGAATTCCCAGTGCTTGGACTATACCTGGCAATTAGTAGGCACTAGGTAAATATTTGTTGAACAAATAAATGATTGCATTTCATTAAAGTTATTTTCTTTCCTGTTTGCCATGTAAGTAGAGTAAGTATTCATTGGATAAATGGAAGACTGAATTTCATTAAAGTGATCGATCCTTTTACACTTCATTTACTAGAAGTGTTCTTGATATAAAGATGGGCAAAATAAATATGACTTTAATATAACTCAGAACTAGATTGCACTTGGTCCAATTCCTCCACAAATAGCAATGCTTATTTACCTGTCATACTTCACTATGAATGGGCCCTTAACAGAATTTTTTCTGTTTCATCAGATGCCTGCAGTGGTGCAAATTTGGCTTTTGGAACAATTGTAAAATAAGTAATCTTCAAGTAAAAAGTAATGGCACTTGGTTTTTCCCGGGGTTGGTAGATAATCCAGTGACAGTTAAAGCATGATAAGAGATTTGAGGATAAAAAAATCAATCAGACATGGTCTGTATTCTTATGGAATTTGTAATCTGACATGGAAAATGGGTTTTAAAAAATGTAATTGCTTTACATAAAGTTAGAACTTAACCATATGTCTTATAGTTACTCAATTCAGAAGAGGTAGGGAAATCATAACAGCTATTGAGTGCTGCTTATGGGCCAGCACTGTCTTTCCTGCTTTACTTGTACTAATTCATTTAATCCTCAACAGTCCTATGAAGTAGGTACTATTATTATCCCTACCTTATAAATGAAGAAAGGGACCCTAAAGAGGTTCAGTAACTTGTCTAAGGTTACCCAGGTAACGGGGCAGAGACAGGATTAGAACTTTGGCAGTTGAGCTTAAAAACCATGCTCTTAACTAGGATTTGCTGCCACTCTAAGTGGCATTTGAGTTGTCAGTAGAATGAGTGGGGTCTCAAAGATGGACAGAAACTTTATAAGTAGAGGAAACTATAAACTTGACCAGATGCACTAAAATCACATTTAAAAGATTATAGTCATCCCAAACTCTAGATCCTGGAAAGCCCGGTTGTAGAACTGTGGCTTCCACACTGGGACTCTTAGACCCCTAGAAGCCTGGGTAGTATTGCTGGGGGAAACCCCCCAAAAACTTATTAATGGAAAAATACATTAACTGACAACAGGCTGTGAGGAAACTGATACAGACTTTAAATTTTTGGCAGGTGCTTTTAAACTTCTGGTGTGAAACTACTTTTCTCAAGCAAATAAGGTTGCTGGCACAGCTATTTTATGATTAATTAAAACGGGAAACACAACAATAGGAATGGTTAATTTGGTCATTTCAAAGCAGGATGGTGGAGGCAAAGGATAACACAGTAGGGGAATGACATGAGGAAACCTCTAGCTAAGGAAAGATGTTGTAGTCAGGATCCCGTGACACCTTGTCTCTCCTCTCCCCAGTGCAGGCTTCTCTGAAGGCAGGGAAACAGGGAATCAGTAATTGTCAGGCCAGGTTTTTGTTTTACTCTGATAATTTAATGGATAATTAACAGAATGAAATTTTCCTGACAATGGCAAAGTGGCCCCTCATGGTTAACAGTCAAAAAAAGAAAAACCTGATCTGAGCTATGGATTTTGGACTGGCAAGATCATCCAAATCTCTAATAAGAATACAGTAACGCTGAACCATTGGAGAAGTAACAACATCTGGTCATAAACTACATAAGTGCTTTAAAGTGTCAATATATTTAGGAAATTGCTAATGAATAGTTGGGAGTTTCAGAGTTATTTATGGTTTTATCTGTATGTTGTATGATAATTTTGTGAGTCAAGAGTCACTGCAAAAGAGTCATACTTCTAAAGCAGCAATTTCCAACTTTTCTCTTCTCATAGCACATAAACTAATTACTAAAATTCCGCCGCACACCAAAAATATTTTTTGCTGATCTTACACAAAAAATAGGTATAATTTAGATTCCTTCACACCAAGTGGCTATTGTTGTGTTAACTCTTGTCATACTTTTATTGAAAAGTTAAGGGAAAAGTCAGTGCCCCTGACTAAAGAGTCCGATATTACATGTTTTAAAAATTATTGCACAACAGTTGAAAATCACTGTCCTAAAGAAATACATCTAGAAGCTCCCTACATTTTTATGAGCAGTATTGGGAATTTAGTTACCAAAATGAAGGCAGGACAGCATGTCATTTGTTTTTTCAGAGAGAAAAAGATGTTTTGTTCAAAACCAAGCCAATTCCGTTGAGTTAGCACACTGTACTTTTTAACAATTTTTCCCATGTGTCTGGATTGATTAGTCGATGTTCTTTGCCTACATTGTAGCCCTTAATTTTTTAGAATGGCTCTGTTTGTAAGTTTTGAGTCCCTTTTTAATTATAATTTCTTAGTGGAAGCTATAGGGTTTAAACCCTGGGCATTTATCATATTTACTGAGCATGTGGTCAATATATTTGTTAGCCTATTAAAATTTTTAGCCTTATAAACACTTTGATAGTTCATCTTTCAGTGCACAATTTTTTAAACTTTTTTTCTTTTGTAGGTATTTAATACAAGGTTGTTTAAAGTCAAAGAAAGACATTTGTTTCTGGCCTATTTAGGAAGAGCACAGTATGATCCAGCAAAACCTAACTACGTCTCTTTGGACAAATTGGTATCCGTGCCTGATGAAATATTTTGTGAAGAGATTGCCAAAGCCTCACTACAGGACTTTGAAAAGTTCTTAAAAACTCTATAGTTTTTGATAAATGTTAAAAATGTAATAATGTAAAGTAATTGTATGTATGAATAAATTAATATCTTTCAAAATAAATGCGCAAGCCTCAATTCATATTGGAAACAATTTCTCGACATTGTAAATCTCCAGTAGATCTTTCTTAAGAAAGTCCCTAGTGACTTCGTTCTCTGACTCCACCATTTCCTCCCTCCTGGGGACGGAGAAGACTCGAGGCAGAGCTTAGAGAAGCGCGTGGGCGTCTGGACGCGGGCGGCGGGCTCGGGGCAGCTGGCTGCTCCCGGGGGTGCTGAGTTCCTGGAGCGCACCGCGTTGCCCAGCACCTGCTGCTCGCTGAGATGCACCCGCTGCTCGCTGAGATGCGCCCGCAGCACCTGCGGCTGGGGCTGTACGCGGCCGTCCTCCCGAGGCCGGTCCTGGGGTGCGCACAGGTAGCTGCCGGTCAGCGAGGGGGGCGGGAAAGCGGTTTGAAGGTAAGTAGGTGGCAGTGGGGCACAAAAGGTCACAACAGCCAACTTACTGCCTGTGTGCAAAGGCTTGTAACGGTGACACTTTTACATTCGCCGTTTAGCTGTGTAGCCCTGGGCAGCCGTAACCTCGGAGCCCGATGATCTGGAAAATGGGGCCTCAGGATGGAGGAGACGCTAACGCCGGGCCCCTAGGGAACCGCACCTGGGCCTGGCGCTCGGCAGCTTCCTCCAGGACGAAGCAGCAGCGGGACGGGGCTGGAGGATGCGACCACGCCCTGCCCGACGAGCACCGGCGCGCGGCCCGCCCTCCCGGGGGTGCAGAACCCCGACCACGCCCTGCCCGACGAGCACCGGCGCGGGGCCCGCCCTCCCGGGGTGCAGACCCCCGACCGCGCCCCAGCTGTCCCCACTCCTTCCCCGGGCTCGTCCCTCCCCGTCGCACCGAACTCTCCTCGGAACCCGTAGCCGGGCGCGGAAAACGTGCGGCCCCTTCGGTCGCTAAGGACGCGAGCGGGACGCCACGCACGCCGGGCACGGAACGTCACCCCCAGCACTGCGCCTGCGCGGGCGTCCTCCCGCGCCTCGCGAGGAGAGCTGCTGCGCCTGCGCGCGCCCTCTGGGACTTACCCAGCAGGCACCGCTTCAGCCTCGGGTCAGGATGGCGGGCCGGCCGGCTGGTAGGTGACGGCGTCCCCGCGGGCGGGCGTCGCCGGGCTCGACCTCTCATTCTCGCGGCTCCCCTCGACCTTTGCTTCCTTCCCTCCGCTCTCACTAAGCGGCCGGTGTCGCGGCCGAAGGGGCGG